CCCATTCTCACACACACACACACGTACACACAAACACACACATACACACGCACACATTGTCATTCATACAACAGTAATCCTACATACTGGATATCTTCTTTGCCAACATCATTAGTTTTACAAGATGACTATCATTGGTAAACTGGGCCCCTTACCCTCATAAAAGAATTCAACGAAAACAACAGCAGCAACAACGAACAACAATAGAAACAGTTACAATGTAACAATAGTTAAAGTAACAATAGCAACAATAACCACAGCACTATGGCAAGGAAATAAACTAGATATATAATTATATATAATATATATATAATATATGTAGGCCTATATATTATGTGTGAATCCGTGAAACAAATCAGGAGGAGGAGAAGGGGAAAGATAATTCATTTGGTTCATTAACTCAACCTGGGTTTTTTTGGGTTTTTTTTTACAATAAGAATTTACATGGTTATTGTGGTTTGTTTTTGCTTAAAAATTTTTAAAAATTTTGTTCAGATATGAATGGATGTTGTGTTCACATTTCAGCCATATGATGTCTTTAAAATTTATTACTTGTTGTACTGAGCAGACCTGTTTGCTGAAATTGCATTTTCCTCCGCCATTTATTTTGTTCATCCAGCCATTTATTTTGTTGATCCAGTCATTTATTTATTTTATGAGAAGTCTTGTCAGTTTGTTAGTGCTTGTGAATGCTTAATTCAGGTGCTTACTTGCACGGTATGCTTCCCGGGAAGCCAAGAATTTTTCATTAAAATTTTTTTTTTTATTGTTCCAAGCCTTCAGGGGTAGTAATAAATTGTAAAGTGCATAGAGTTACCTGTTGTGCTATGATATGCGCTACAATCTTTTGCTATTTATTATTGTAATGTATTATTTTTTATTAAATGATTGGCGGGTGGTTGGAAGGTGCCGCTGATAATGACAGTTATTGTGTGGATGTGCTTCTTTTTACTCAAACCCAAAAACTCATAGTATTAATTATTGATATTCTGTTGTTACTATTGTTATTGATATTATGATTATTATTAGTTTTACATGTATTATTAAGCTGTATACTTCCCAGGAAGTTGAGATTATATAAAATTTCAATTTCAGAATGCTATCAGATCTGCTGGGGTAAAAGTATAGATTGTAAAACATGTGTAGAGCTTCTTATTGAGCAGGAATTTGTGCTATGCAAATGGAATCTCTTCTTCTTATTATTATCGTTATCATCTACCGTGTAGATCTATTACGTCTTTGTTTCCCTCGCTGTTTTTTAGGGCCCCAGAGAACCGTCGGTGAACCAGGCGTGGGGCTTTCTCGTGTACCGCGGCGAGGAGGTGGGCGAGGTCAGGCTAACGGCCGGCCACAAGCCGGACTGGAGGCTCATCCCCAAAGAAGAAGAGGCAGATTTCTGCCGCATCGCTGCGGAGACTGCGGAGACTGTGGAGAAAGAGACGGTGCCCAAACGCGTGGCGTGCCCGCCCTTGCTGGAGATGGTGCAGAAGCAGGAGCTGAGCGCCCGCGGGGAGGCGGTGCCGGACCAGATCCAGATTCCCTATGTGGGCGTGCGGCCCCTCAAGGAGATCAAAAGACATTTGGTGTAGAGAGAGAAAGTAGAGGTGATCGCTGGTCGGCTGTGTTGTTTGTTTGTTCAGGCGCGATGGGCAGCTGTTCAAATGTACTAGGCCCAAAATTTTGAATTTGTAGATTTATATTGCAGTTTCTGCTGCTGCCCAAAATTTTGAATTAAAAAAAAATTGCAGTTTCTGTGGTACCCAAAATTTTGAATTAAAAAAAAATTGCAGTTTTTGTGGTATCGGTTTCATGTGTTCAAGAAATAATTTGTCGAAAATCGAATTGTAACTTATTTTGAGTGTTGAAAAAGAAAAAGACAGAAAAATTGCATTCTCAAGGTAGGCTACAGTAGCTAAAAGTGAATGAAACACTTTTCTTTTTTTTCCCTCTCTGTAAATTTTGCTTTCTGGGCGTAATGCATTTTAACAGCTAGTCAACAATGTGTGAATGGGCTCGTGATTATTACAAGTGAGGTGATTTGAAAGCAGTTTGGTTGTGAAAAATGCAGTTGTTTGATGAATGAGTCTGATGCCATGATTAGTTTTATTGTGTTTTTCTGTGCTTCAACTTCTTGTGAGATTTTTTTTTTACCTTGGTTTACGTTGATGATAACATTAAAAGAAAAAATAATACTTTGCTCGGTCTGAAATATTTTGTGCTTTACACTCTCATCATCACCACCACCACCACCACCACTATCATCATCATCATCATCATTATCATCCTCCTCCTCCTCCTCCTCCTCCTCATCATCATCATCATCATCATCATCATCATCATCATCATCATCATCATCATCATTACTATCATCATTACTATCATCATCATCATCATCATTACTATCATCATCCTTGTCAATCCTGTAGTCTTGTTAAGGGTTAGACGAGTGTCAAGTGATTACTTAGGCACTTTGATGTTGCAGGCAAGAAACTTTAGAAACCTGAGTTCAATTCCCAAGTGGGCAGAGTATTTAATTTATCGAGTATCTCCTCAGTCTTTCTGCTGGGATGTTGAATCCCTCTCAGACCGGATTGGGCCGGACATGCAGGATCGGAAACCCACCTATGATCATCTGAATTATGTCGAGGGAGGCATGAAAACATCTGATCTACATTAATTTTTAAAACTCATCATCATCATCATCATCATCATCA